CACTGGCCGTCAAGGAAGCGAGTGTGCGGGTAGAGGGGCAGCCTTGACACCAAGATGAGTAAGGGGAACAGGGATCTGAGCCCAAGGTTGGGGCGTGAGCATCCCAGGCCCCTGCTGGCATGCTTTCCCTGGGGTGGAATGCCACATCACTCAGGAGTGTGGCATCTAAAAATAGCCAGGGATCACCTTGCCCGGAAAGGATTTGGGGGTGCAACAGAGATGCCACAGGACATGTAATTAAAAGCAGAGGTAAAGGACGAAGGGAACGCGAGGGCAAGAGGAGGGAGGTCTCTGTGGAGCAGGAGACGAGCTCACAGCTGTGGTTCAGATCTCCCCAGCAGCCAAGGCAAAAGGGGAAAACGGAGTCAGAAGACGTCAGGTCTTAATCCCGAAACTTCCCTCCTAGAGAAGGTGACATGGGGATTGTGGGTCAGTGCGGAATCTCCGTCCACCCTGAGCAACGGCTTGGGCCAGACATGGGCTGGACTTTGGGGCTGCCAAATGAAACCTCAAATCAGGTTGCTGGGGCGTAATGGCCCCCATTTGCCAGGCCCTTAGCTCATGCCCATCACTGTATCTCCCTTTGTCCTCACAACAGCCTGGCCCAGTGTCTGTCACTCCTCCACATAAGGAGAGGCAGGCCGTGCCCTAGGACATGGCTGCTTTTCTGTCCTCTCAGCTTTGTGCAGCGATTTCACTCCAACTCCACAGGCTGGGTGTGCTCGCTCCTCTTTGGCTGACTCCATGGCCCAGTGACAGTCCTGGGCATGTCCTTGTCACCCTGTCATCTCAGCCAAGTGCCTCCAGGCTCTGGGCCTGCCCTAAAGGACTTGGCCTCTGGGGACTGCCGCCTTTGTCCCTCCTGCCGCTGCCCAGACCAGGGCCCACAGCCTGCCTCCCTGCAGAGCAGCAGGTGCCCAGCCCCTGAAGGCTAGGAAGTGGCTTCCCGGGAGTGAAGAGAGAAGGCGGCGGTTAAGACTGCGCAGAGAGACTGCTCAGAGATGCCGGGTGCAGGCCTGTGTGTAGATGCGTGTTTCAGTTGCTCTGTTTGCCACTAACGGATGACTCCAAATCATAGAGACTTACCCGGCCCATTTATTAGGCTCACGGACTCCACGGGTCCAGAGTTTGGATGGGCACAGTGGGAACGCCTCATCTCTGCTCCACCAAGTTGGGGAGCGGGGGGCTCCTGGAGGGTGCTCAGCGTCTGGGCCTGGAATCACCTGCAGGCGAACTCACTGAGACCCCCTCCACGTGGCTGTCCCTTACCAGCTAGTTTCCAAGAGACAGTGCCCAAGAGCCAGGAAGAAGCACAGGGCTGTCATAACCCAGCCCCGGGCCCCACAGTGCCCTTCTACCACCTTCTACTCAGGGAGGCAGTCACAGGCTCACCCAATTGGACCACGTCCCTTAACAGGGGTGGGGGGTGGGGTGGCAAGGTTCTAAAAGGTTCTAAAAGGAGCCCTGTGGGGTTCCATGCCTTTGTTGGGCTTCAGGCAGTACTGCCTGTGCCTCTGTCACAGGAAGACATGGTGGCTGCGCTTGCCAGCCTCTCCCCACCCCTGCGCCTGACGAGGAACTTTCTGCAGTTGCAGTCTTGTTTCTTTGGGGCCTCTTTCCCCTTGCCTCTCCAGACCACTCTCCACTGACTCCAGCCTCCCGGGAGGCTGACCTGGACAGAAGCACCTTCAGGCTCCCTGCGCCCTGATCCTCTTGGGCGCAGCCAGTGGGCTGCCCTGGGAGGAGGCCCGGGCACCAGGTGGGTGGATGGCCCTCTCTCCAAGCTCGGGACCCTCTCACTCCCTTGCCCCTCGGGCCACCAGCCCCAGCAAATTGCTCCTCAGTGCTGCCTACGCCTGTGTCGTTTTCGAAAATGCTCCTCCTCAAATGACCCAAACCGACTGAACTGCTATCTGCCTTCTGTATGCAGGGGCCTTGCCTGACACAGAACCACAGGGGCACAAGAGATGTGTGCTCTGAGAGGGTAGCTGCCCAGGGTCCCAGGGTCTCCACGGGGCTCTGGCCCAGGGGCTGGCCTACAGCCTTCACTTGGTGGCTTGCCCCTTAAGCCTCCCACAGAGAAATCCTGCTTTGAGAAGGTCACTGCCCCATGTGGGGACATAGCTGTGTGTTTTAACTCCAGAAAGACCAGGCCCCAGTAGGGGAGCCGGCGCCAACTCAGACAGCTGAATAAACAGCCACGGTCACGTTTCCAGGCCCCCTGCAGCCTGGCCTCCCCACACTGGAGGCCACTCAAGGCCAAGAGTGGGGCTGTAGCCCTCCATAGAGACGGTGGCAGCCTCCCTTCCCAGCTCCAGGGTCCCACAGCAGGCACCTTGGTCTGGTGGACAGCAGGAGGGAGAGGGAGGGTGTTGGCTGCCCCAGATGAGACATTCAGACCTGGTTTCCCAGGCCCAGCTCTGCCACTTTTGCCCAGGACCTTCTGAGCATGTCTGCCTCTCCTTGGCCTCCATGTCTCCAACCGTAGAATGGACAGAAACATCCCCAAGTGTCGCATGGCAAACAAGGTAGTGGGTGTCAAAGGTGACGGGATTAGGGGGTGAGGTGGGGACCAGGCTGGGAAGCCTTGAGGAGTATGGTAAAGACCTGGACTGTCCCCAAGGGCGGGGAGCCATGGCTGGGCTGGAGCAGGGCCCACTTGGAATTTTAAGAAAACTGCTCAGGTGGCCGCTGGTAGAGGAGGAGAGAGGGAGGGCGGGAGGGAGACTCGTGTGGAGACCGTGCAGCCTGAGCCAGAGCTGGGCCTTGGTGGGAGGTAGACAAAACTGGGTTTTGGAGGGTAGGGTGGGTGGGCAGAGCCTCAGCGGGGTACAATGTCTGGCTAGGCCCGACCTGGGCGGTGTCACCCCCACTGTCCTCTTGGAAGTCAGGGACCCCACTTCCCAGGGCCCAACGGGCTACATCATAAGAAAGTGCCCTTGAGGAGACCTGGCCGTCACCTTGAGGAGATTAATTTTGATTTAACCCTCAAATAATAACTTGTCAGCTTTCCTAATTGCATCCAGCTGCGCAGGGCCTCCAGGCCTCATGGCGGCATCCCTTCCTGCCTCAACACCCCTGGCCTGGACCTGAGAAGGGAGACCCTGAGACACGGAGGTGACGGGAGCCAGGTGCCCCTGTCAGTACCAAGCCCCATGGCGGCAAAGCGCTCTCGGCCCAGCCCATGGGGGCGTCGTGGCCATCTGCTGAAGGGACAAATAGATGGCCTTTCCAGCCATTGGCCGGAAGGCCACTCACAGCACAAGCTCAGACCTTCTAGAGCCTGCCGGCCAGCACTGACCCCCTGCACCTCCAGCCTTCCACCCCCGATCCAAGTCCCCTGTGTGTTCTGAGTATAGAGACGGGTCTCATGGCTGCACCCTCTACCTGAGATGTCATGTCCCTCTTCAGGGCCGAGCCTGTGTCCCCAGGAATGAGTCACTCTCTCCTGCCCCAGGCTGCCTGGGAGGGTTGATATCAGACTGGGAGACCCCCAAGAGGAGGGTCACAGCCTGTCCTAAGCCCCTAGCCTTGGTCCATCGTGTCAACAACAACATGACTGGTCAGCGTTCCCTGGGACCAGGCACTACGGCGTCTTCGGTGTGCTAGCTCACTGCGCTCTGTGAACTGGGTACTGTCACTGTCCTTGCAGCACAAAGAGGACAGGCTGAGGGAGCTGGCCCTGACACTCCTCTGCCCAGGGCCCTCCTGCCCCTGCACCCAGGGCCCTGGGAGGGCATCCCAAACACACACCTTCCTGCTCCCATGAACTAGCCCCTCTCCTCCCAGTTTCCCTCAGTTGGGTGACCTCTCCACCCCCACAGAACAGTGAGCCCGAGCCTCCCCATCCCCTCCTTCCCTCCCACAGCCTCAAGCCCTAGGTGGCTGCTGACTGGGGTGTCGAGGGGTACTTTTCCACTTGAGCTGTCTGACTGCAAACATCACAAGCCACCTGACAGTCATCTCCCTGCAGGACTGACTGCTGACCATCAGTAACTAGGCAATGGTGATGACAATCGCCTTTGGGAAATTGGGAAGACTCGGTGAAATAACGCAGGTGATGTTCTCAACCAGGACTCCTAGTGAAAGCACCTGTGGCCCTGTGGGCGCCCATATTTGCGGATGCCCCAGCCCTGTGGGTGGGTGCCCAGGGGTTTCGATTGGGCCGCCATGTGTCACTGTAGCCACCAGGGGGCAGCAGAGGGGAGCAGTTCCGCTGGGCAGCTGGTGCTTTGCGGAGGGGGAGGGGAGCAGGAGGGGCTGGAGGCGGCCCAGCGGGTGGCTCAGGGCGGGCCTGGGAGTCTGGGCTGGGATCCTGGCCCTGCACTAACTCTTGCATGGCTCAGGCCTGCCTGGTTCCCCTGTGCATGGGGCCTGGGTCTCTTCCAACATGGAACTGAGGCGAGGCTGAGAGGCTTCCCCACATACAGCTGCAGTCCTGGCCAGCCGACCTGGGGGCGGGGGGGCGTGGGGGGGGGCTCCTGGCGTCCAGTTGAGGCCCACCCACACCCCAGCACCTCCGGTCTGCAGATGGGGAAATTGAGGCTCAGCCAGGAGCTGTGGCCTACGTTCCACAGCAAATCCGAGGCAGAGGCAGGATGGGCTGGGCTTGCAGACCGGAGGCCTGTTCTTTTCCCTGTGTGCACACACAGCAACGTCCCACATTCCAAGAGCAGGGGTCCTGCTGGGCACACCCTGGGGGAGGTGACCCTCCTCGGGCTCCCAGGGCCCCTTGCTGCCTGATGACTCTGGCGCCTGATGAAGCATCCGTGGACTCAGCACCCCCAGCCCTCCCTCGTGGGGCTGACATTCCGGGGTGGTTTTAGTTCTCAGTGTCCCTCCATCCACCTGGTAGGCTGGGGGCTGCTGGGTCATGCTGGTTGCTGTGGCCCCAGCCGCCCAGCGCAGGACCTGGCAGGGAGTGGGACGGTGGGGGGGAGGGAAGGGGCGGGGAGGTGAGTCACCCCTTGGGACAACTCCAGCTGAGTTCCTGTCTCTCACCAGCCTCCCCAGGGCAGGTCCCACCTGCAGAGGAACCTGGGAAGGGAGAGGTGCGGGACTTTACAGGAAAGGGGGCCGGCTTCTCATGGGGCCAGGAGAGGCCCTGAGGGGGACCCCGGGTGGACAGCCCCACAGTCGTTTCCTCCTGGCTTGGGCACAGGAAGGCGGGTGCCTTGAGCTCTCTGCTCTGCGGCCGGAAAAGACTGGTGTTCCAGGAATATGCAGTTTGGCAGGCCGGAGCGAGCACATGGTGAGGCTCCCCAACCCAGTGCTGTGGGGCCTCCCTTGCCCCCAGGAGTGCATTAACTCCCGCTACCACGCTGGGCACAGTGTACCCCTCTCTGGGCCTCTGCTTCCCCGTGAGGGGGTGACACAGTCACAGGACAGGGGCCCTAAGGGCTAGTGTAAGGCTGCGGGCTGAGGCCAGGGTCTGGGGGCTGAGCCAGTGCGAGGCTAGGAGATGAGTAAATGTCTGGGGTCCCCCAGCTGCCCCCGAGTCATGCTCCCCGCCTGGCCTCCTCGGCCCCCATTTTGGCAGCATCAGGGCGGGCAGGACAAGGAGGCTGGGCGGCCATGTTCCAGCCGAGCTGGGGCCTGGCCAGCAGTGCTTCCCGGCGGCCTCCTCCCGTGCTCCGAGAGCATTACCTCATCGGGAAGCCATTCCGGAAAAGGAGCTGCAGAGCCCCTGGGAGTGGAGGGGAGAGGCGCTTTCCAAGGGCCCTCCTGGCAGCCGCCAGTGCCAGACGAGGCCAGGCGTCACGCCTCCGGGTGTCTGCCTGCCGAGCGACTGCTGGGAGGGCAGCTGGCTTTTGTCAGCTTTTTGGGGTGACCGGGCTGGGCTGAAGCAGGCCGGCACCATGGCACTGCCCTCAGCCGGCTGGCTGCCAGGCAGGCAGAGGATTTATTTCAGGAGCAGGAACCAAATAGCTGGACAGGAGGGGAAGCCAGGTGCACGCTAAAAGCAGACGCCAAGCCCTCCCCGCTTCTGAGCCTCAGTTTCCCCTCAATCCAGCTCCCCTCCCCCCTTCGTTCTCGCCCTCCCCCTCCTGTGGCCGCAAGGAGCACTGGACATAAGTGAGCACGTGACCATGCTCCCTGCTCCCTGCAGATGTAAACCAGAGGCCCGACTGCCTGCAGCTGGCTCTGAATGGGCCTTTCTGGGCCATGTGGTCTGGGCTGAGAGGGGCGGGGAGCTGCGGGGGCAGCTGGGGTGCTGGGGGGAGAGGAGGAGCTTCCCGCCCTGCCTGAGGTGGGTCCTGAGGGATGAGGATGTGGGGCAGACAGGAGGAGCCCCTGGCCCTGGCCCCAGCCCTCCCACCCAGCCTTGATTCCAGAGAAACCTCTCAGAGCCTCAGTTTCCTTATCTGTCAAACGGGGCTCAGAGTGCCCACCTCCCCACCTCAGAGAATGGCTGAAAGGACTCCTGAAACCATGTAAAGGAGGGAACAGGAGGCACAGGCGACAGGCTCTCCTCGGGGGCCCGTGGGCAAGCTCCTGCGCCAGCTCCTCCTGGGTTAGCATCCGGTGACAGCCTTCACACGGTCAGGGCCAGGGCGGGTCCTCCTACGACACAGGTCTGTTTGGTGCATTTTCCCACTAAAAACCCCCTTGACCCAGAGTAAGGGAAGCTCTGTCTTCCGGCCACACCTGATTGCACATGTGCCCAGGCTCACCGTACCTTTTTTTCAAACTCTGCCTGGAGAACTCTTATTCATCCTGCAAAACTCCAGGCAAGATGCCCCCTCTTCTGAAACATCTCACAGGGTTGCTCTGAGAACCAAAAAATAACATACATGTGTGAGCACAGGGGCTTGTGCTCATGGCTGTGCTGTTATTAATTAGAAAGAGGTCATAACCAGATGAACAGGAAGGTTGTCTGGCTCGAGATGTAAGCCCAGCCTTGGCATATGGTAGAATTTTCAAAGAGGAAAGGAGGAAATTGGAGGCTAGGAATAGGCAGTCGTGCAGCAGTCTTAAATATGACTTCAAGTTCCTTGGTCCTCCTCCCATTGAGAGATGGGTCTATGTTCTCTCCTCTTTAATCTGGGCAGATGTGTGACCACTTCCGTGGCCTGAGTGGGACAGCAGTGCTGCCCGGTACCTTCCAAGGCAGAGTCGTCAAAGTCCACACAGCCTCTACCCTGGAGTCCTGAGTCATCTTATGAGAAGGGAGTTCAAGCATCCTGGGACCTCCACGCTGCGAGGAAGCCCACACTGCATGAGAGGCCACATGGAGGCCTGCTGGTTGACAGTTCCAGCCTCCGCGTCATCCCAGCCCAGGCTCCAGCCATCCAAAAGCAGAAGCCACTGCAGAAGTAGCTCCACCAGCCTCAGAGGCCCCAGCTGTTTGAGTTGTCCCAGGGGAGGCCCTGGCATCCCAGAGCAGAGTTGTCCCCACTGAGCCCTTTCAGAATACCTGACCCACAGAACTCCTGAGCAGAACAAAATGGCTGTCATTGGGGGTGGTTGGTTCCAGCACTAGCTACCTAGAACAGGTGAGAAGCTCAGAACCTCTTGGCCCTTCAAGCCAACTACAGGGCCCCACGATGCAAGGTGGTCCTAACCTGGAATGCAGTCCCAGGAACAGGTTCTCCCCAAATACTCTTGGCGTTCTGCAGCTTGACCCGTAACCGGTGCTTGGGGAAGGGTCATGGAATGGATGAATGATGTCCAGCCTCATTCGCAGAGATGTTCCTGAGCCACCCCCCAAACCTGAAAGGGGGTCTCCTCACCTCAGAACTCCAGTGGGCCTTTGCGGCTTGAATAAATTGTGGACCCAGCGCTCTGGGGAGGTATCCGGGTTCTGTGTGGCATGTCTGTTCCTCGGTTTCCCCACCCAAGGAATAGGCTGCTGAACTCGTACCCTCTGTGGTCCCCCTGGGCTCCTGATCTGCCTGACTGGGGGCAGTTATTCACTCAGGTGTGTTTCCCCCCCCCCCTCACATCCTCCAATCCACAGGACTCCGCCTCCCGGGCAGGGGGGGCATGATTACTGTAATCTCACCATTACATGCTCAGCACCTGGCACTGATCTAGCTCAAAGGATGGATGATGCCAAAGGTGACTACCGAATGAATGAATCAGTCAATAAATGAATGAATTCTTCCTGTGCTCATTCATTCAATCAATTCATTTTCCCCACATACAACAAGGATTCTCTTCCAGCAACTCCAGGAGTGAATTCTTGCATGTCTCATGTGATGGGGAGCTCACTACCTTTCGAGGCAGCCTATTTCATTTTGAGGCAGCATTGATCAGAGAGCAGTTCCCTGAGCTGGCTTTCTTCCTGGGCCCCAGGGGTGAGTGGCTGGAGAAGAAGTGTGGGGGGGTACGTGACAGGGGAAGGGGCCCTCAGTACCCACAGTCCTCAGAGCCTGCATCTGATGAGTTCTGGGAGCAGGTGAGGGGACCCCAGAGTGCCAGAAACCCGCTGGCTCTCTCTGCACTGGCCCAGCTGAGCGGGGGCAAGGGCAGCGAGTGCTTTCCTGCCCAGGGCCCAGCTGAGGCAGGGCCAAGCACACCAGGAGGTCTGCAGAGATGAAGAAAGCAACCCGGCAGAGGGCAGAGCTGGGGCGGGACAGGTGGTCTGTGCTGTCTCCATGGCTTCGTGCTTCTGCCTGCCCAGCCTGGCCTGGGCAGGACGAGCTGGGCGCTGAGCACGCGGTGCCCGTGACCGCCCGGGACAAAGGCTGGGCTGTTCAGACGCGCACGGCAGCCACCTGGGCCTGCCTGGTGGAACATCGGTTTAGACTGGGCCTGCAGCCTGCCCCTGGGGCCCCTGGGAAATGAGCTGGAGCTAGGGGCTGGGGGCGAGGAAGGTCTGGGCCGGCAGCACCCTCAGGGGCACGCAGGGCCCTTGCCAAGCCTCAGGGAGCCTGAAGGCAGCAGGAGCTCGTGGCGTAAGGAGTCGGGGTTTCTCTCTCTATCTCTGGGTAACGTAACATCGGCTGGTGGGCCTCCCTTCCAAGGCGCACCCCCAAAGAGTGGCCAAACAGGCCCGCGCGTGAAGCTTGTTTTCGCTGCCTCTGTGGACAGATGCTGCTCTGGGCCTGAGCCGGGCAAACCGGAAGTGCCAGGAGGCCAGCGCCTGGGAGCAGCTTTCCCCAAGGACGCGTGGAGCTGGTGGACGAGTGCCCCTCAGACCACAGCTCAGAGCTGTGCTCCCACCGTCTCTCAGCACTCCCCAGCGAGCAAGCCTGCCCACCCTCAGAGGTGACTTGCTTGATGACACTCCCTCCTTGCCACGCTCCACTCCCGCCTCGTGCCTCGTGGAACCCCTCCCAAACCAGCCATGCTTATGTGAATCGGTGCTTCATGGCTGGCTTCTGGGGAGACCCAGGCAGGCCACAAGCTCACGGAGGGTTCACAGGGCCTTCTGCGTCCTGGAGCTCAGAGACAGAGGGAGTGGGTCACTATGTTGTCCCAGAAACTGTGACTAGGGAAAGCATCAACCCATGTGCCTATAGGGAAGGGGAGTTTGGGTTCAAGGAAAGGGGGAAGGGACTCACAGAGAGGGGTCTGCCCAAACAGCTCTCGGGCCTACAGAAGCCCTTTACCCCTCATCTGTGCCTCCATCAGGGGTGACGGAGCTCCCTGCGCTTTCCCCACTTGGGACTGGACCACCTGCCCACCCGGGTCTCAGCCCCCACAGCTGAGAAGGGGCAGCGTGCTCTGCTCACCCTGTGTGGCAGCGTGGGCTCCCAGGAAGCCACTCTGGGGCAGGACGTCAGTCAGGGACAGTCTGCGGTCACTGCTGTGGCGGGGAGGGGAAGAAGGCGGGCAGGGCAGGGGCCTGACCCTGTGGGAGCACTGGAACTAGAAGGGCCACCGGAGCTGGCCCGAGTTGGGTGGCGTCGGCCAGGCCTTATGCTCCGGTCTGCATCCATCGTTAGATAGGGCCCACCCAGGGAGGCCATGACCTTGGGCCAGGCCGGTCTCTGCAGCTTGAAGCCAACCCTGAAGGGGCTCGAGCCCAGGGCTGTGTGTGCTGGAGGGAGCCCACCGTGAGGGACGGGAAGGCTCAGAGCACTCACTGTCCTGTCCAGCTGCCCCAGGGTGTCCTACGGGCCCCCCACACTTAGCCGCCCACACTAAACTCGTCAGCTCCCCCAGGCCTCCTGCCTCCTGCTTGGGGTCTGGGTGAAGCTGCCTTTCTGCAGTGCCAGCCTGGCCAGCCCCACCCCTCCCCACCACTCCACCCTCCACTTATCTAGGGGTCTGACCTCACAGGCCCCCAGCCTCCACACTTCTGCCAGAGTGGCCTTTCCAAACACAGTTCCTGCCCCCAGTCACCTCCTTTACACCCCACTCCGGCTGCCCACACAGCCTATACCCCTTGCCCGTACATTCCACTCAGCCCCACATTTGCCACCTACCCCCTCCCCTGCCCTTCCCCCGGACTTAGCCCTTTGCTCTGAGCTGACGTCTTGGAAGGCCTTCCCTGGCCCTGGGCCATGTCAGGGTTCTCAGCCTTTAACCCGCTTCTACGGCAGCATAACCCACACGGACCCGGGGCAGAGTCAAGTCCGTGTCTGTGTCCCTGGGCCCAGCAGGCCCTCAGTGAACACATGTGGGGAGGGGGGCAGGGGGGAGACAGAAAGAGAGAGAGAGAGAGGAGGAGGAGGGAGGGAAGGAGGAAGGAAGGAAAGAGAAAGGAAGGGGAATGATGAGTGAATGAGTGACTGACATCAGTGTGACTGTGAACAAGCTTTATGACACTGAAGATGGTGAAGGATTTTCTTTAGCACCCCATGAAGGGTGAGCCCTGAGCTTGGAGGCCATGGGACCAGCTCAGAAGGTGCCTTTGAACTCTAAGAGAGAGGGGCAACCCTTCACTCAGGACTAAGGGGCATTCTGGAACATTCTCAGGGGCAGGGCTGAGTGGCTTCGTGATGCCAGCAGATCCCACAGGACCCCCTTCCTCTCCCCAGTGGCAGCACCTGCTGAATCAGGGCCTGAGTCAGCTTCTGCCTCCCACCTGCGTCCTGCGGGGGGATTTGCCCGTCTGCGTGCCCTGGTGTTGGCCGGAACCTGCAGCCCTGGGCAACCGGCAGCCCTCGCTGCTGCTCGGCAGAGCTCTGTGTTGGAACTTGTACATTTCTGAACTCAGATGTCCTTCCAGCCGCCTTCCCACGGTGCTGCCACAGCCCATCAGATTGTCACAGGGATAAGTCATCACTCCAGGTGCTGGGTGGGGGGTGGTAAAGGGCGGTCCTTTGACCTCAGGGCAAGTCACTGCCTCACCCACCTGCCACCACCTAACCTGGCTGTTCATGAGCCCACACCCTTCCTCCATGTCCCACCAGCTCATTCAGGTCCCGACCCGTCCCTGCCACCTCCTTGGCAACCTTCTTCTATTTCTGTGGCATCTTCCACCACACCCTTCCCTCCAGCTCCCAGCACGTTCAAGTCTCTCCCTCTTCAGGGAAAAAAACACCCTGACGCCACACCCACCTCCAGACACTGCTACCTTTCCTCCCTCCCACCGCCAGCCTCTTAAGATAAGACCAACACTGGCCATCCCCCAGCACGCTTCTCAACCCACTTCAGTCGGGCGTTGTTTCCACCCTCCACTGAAATGGTTTTTATCAGGGTCAAGGATGCCCTCTGTCTTGCCAAAGCCAAGGTTGCCTCTGATTCCATCACGGCATGTGATGTGGCCAGTACACCTCCTCTGGAAGCTCCTTGTCCTTGGGTCTGCACGCGCCCTGACCTCACTGGCCAGCCTTGTTGGCCTTCACTACACCCCAACTTCAAAGAACAAAACACGCTGAGGGTTCCCACGTTCACATCTCCAGCTCTGCCCCGGCCCCAAACCCCAAGTCCCCTTTGCCCCCAACGTGTTTGCAATGCCAGCTGCAGAGAGAGGAGGAGGGGCTGTGGGCTCAGGGAGAGGGGCAGGACTGAGCAAGCTGTAGCGAGACCTGGGCCGTGTTCCGCACGCGGGGGGCTCTGTCGCACGTGTCCACTCGTGGGCAGGCTTCCCTGCCTCCAGCCTCCCGTGGTTCCACTCAGCTCCATGGCAGAGGAAACCTGGGCACTGTACTGGGGTCTCGAGCGCCTCCTCAGTTGTCCTAACCCGCCCCATCAGGGTTTCTTGGAGCTGGGCCAGGGTACCAGTCACTTTTGGAGCAGGAGCCGCCCCCGTGACTTCTGACTCTGACTCACTCTTTAACGTGAGTGACTTTCTCCTTCAGGTCCCAGGGAATAGACAGATGTCAGGTCTGTCCCAGGGGTGTCACTCCCAGACCCCCGCCAGATGTCCCAAGTCCCCTGGGCTTCTTCGTGCATCATCTCCACTCCCACCTAGATCTGAGCCACTGTCATCCCTCCCTCACCTGGGCCACTGCCGATGTCCCCTACAGTCCATTCTCCCCACCCCACCCCACCCCAGGAGCTAGAGGACCTTCTCAAGATATTCAGACCTCACAGATAAATCTGCCCCTGGCCAGCTCCTCCCCAGTCCCAGGCCTGTCTCCCCAACAATGACCATGATTTCAGGCCAGTGGAAACCTACTGTGAGTGAAAAATGATAAACTGTTGTTTTAATTTTACTTTCTATGATTACTAATGAGGTTGCCTCTCTGTTTCAAAACTTCAGTCATTTTTAATTGGATTTTTGTCATTTCTTTTTTTTTATGTGAAGGAGCTCCTTTTGTACTTATATATCTCATATATTATGAATTCAAATTCTTGTAGACAAAGAATAATTTTTAAAAAGGTTAAAACATAATCCTCGTGCCAGTAGAAAATGAACACATCTGAGATTTTACTTAACTCATTAATTAATAAGAGAACCAATAAGATGTGAAAACCAGTTCAAAGGAGAATTTGAAGGACAGACATATGTGTAGGTAACCAGGAAGGCGGAAATGAACTTGCTAATAGCTATAAAACTGGTTAATATCCTATAGGGCAACAAAGTGTACTGTTTAGGGTTATTTTTACTATAAGACAGAATCCAATTATATGTCTATTGTACAAAATTCATTTGTATTGTTATGGACAAGAGGCATTTGCCTTACAATAAATTTTCTACAGCTTAACTTCTACTCTGACGAAGCTGTAACTTAAAAACTTTTATTAGTATTTTTGTAATATATACT